ATACTTTTATGCATCAGTAAAGTTTCAAATTTCACATGCAAAATCTTTATAATGTCCAGAAAGTTATCAAATGTTTCTTAAGAAAAAAAAACTTTATATTTTATCCTTTATTTGCAGTAACAAATCTCTGTAGTGGTTTGGTGGATTTGACTGATCTCGTAACTACCATAAAAAATGGCGATTAAATATAAATTATGCCTCTTTCATTCTACAATGACAACGAATTATAATATGAATACATAAATGTTTAGACTAAATAGCTTAAATCTCATAACATTCTACATTTATATATATTTATTATTTTTATTATATTGACCTTTCAGCCATCCCTGGCTAACAATACAATGATGCAGAACATATGCATTCATGTCACTGTATCCAATAGTATAAATCTGCCCTTTAGTCTTTATAAAGTGACCTGTCTTGGCTGTGTTTTAGTCAACTAGTATTTTGTAAAATACAGTCATATTTCAATTATTAAACAATATATATATGTATATAGATTATCACTATTTAGAAATAAGTTCTTAAACCTATTTCTATTAAAACACAAAATAGTAAATAAAGAAGTAAAGCAAACAGGTATCTCATCCAGTTATGACCTTTGTACTCAGTTGCTGCTTGACGTAGGTTGCTATGCCTTTTAAAATTTCACAAGTGGAGGATTTGAAACAAAATAATTTTTGGGTTTTTTATATAAACTGTTGAATAAACAAAAAATTATAAAATACTATATCAATACCAGAGAATTCCACAATAATTTCTCAAGCTTAGTAACTAAACTGTATTTCAGTCTAAAAAATATGAAATTTTGAGCAGAATAAAGACATAACCTACCTCCTTGGAATCTTGGTTCGAAGGAACGAAATGGCATCCTAACAATTTAAAACGGCTGAGAAAGCCACTAGAGTGACATTCTGAGCTTTCAACTAGTTATTCAAGTCATATATAGAAGTAAGTGTATATAAGGGACCGTTTCCAAAAATGGAAAGAGATAGGTGGGGTGCCACTGTGTTTGATTCAGTATGAGTGATATCTTAGCAAATAGAAAAGATAAGAGGTTCTTATTTCATATTCTATCTTGCCAATATTAGTAATTTGAGTTCCTAATTTGTACAAAACTATAGACTTAGTATTTTGACATCACAAACATCTAATTTGAACCTGTGTTGCATTCAACATACCACGTGAAACACAAAAATCAATGTTTAATTCTGTTTATTAATATTTAGTTTTACAGTAAGAAATTGAATAATGTATAATATTAAAACTTGAATTATAATCTACAGTTTGATACCAAACTTACTAACATAAATTCATGATTGAATGCAAGTCAACAAATGAGATGAGATGGCTTTTGACCCATGGCCCGACTGGAAAGGGTTAAGTATTTATTTTTGTTGTTGCAGTTAAAATGGGACAAGTGCAATCTACATTATTACAATCAACAGAATGTACATTTAATTTTTTTTGTTAATCAGTTGTCCAAAGACATTACACAGAGTCATATATTGTTTTTTCATATTTCAGTTCAAGAGATTATTATTTAACCAATGGTTAACCATATTTATTCCCAGTGAAACTTTTTCCAATATCTCATTCCAAGTATTAATTTAAAAACTAATGCTGTGTCATCAAAAACATAACTATACAATTAATTTGTGTATGGTGAATTCTGTTTGTAAAATAATAACTTGTAAACAAATCTAACCCATCCCCTCAAGCACCTATATTTTCTAGTTTGTCCACTAATAATTTATGGGGGATAAAATCAAACATCTTAATCAGATGTAAGAATATGCCTATTATTTCAAGATTACTATTTACTCCTTCATAAATAGCCTTATTTAATTTACTAACAGACTTTAACAAATTGAGGGTGGCCAATTCGACAATAGAAGTGGTAGAAATTGACAAATAGCAGCCAATTCTCATCCCTCATTATTTTCTGATGATACATTATTTATATGTTAGTAAAGGCTGATTCTATTGAGAATGTTTCTCTTGCTCAAAAGGACCTTAAAAACCTTGTTAACTAAGTTAGAATGTGGAAAGAGTTTCTATAGTGAGAGGTTTAAAGTTTTATACAATTAAAGTATGACAACTTGTGAAGGATTTGTATTGTGTGACTGATGTTGTGGAAAAGAAAAAGATTTAGAAATGACTGTTAATAAAATACTAAAAATTTTAATAAAACTTTATTTACTTCAGGTCAAATGGAGAAAAAGGTAAAAACAGGTACCACAAGCTGCACATTTCACCAAGTTAACCTGGCATAAGGTGAACAGATGTTCCAGTTTTTGGAATGCTGTCCCAATATCTCTATAGATCTTTACAGGATGCCTAAATGTCCTGGTTTTAATTTTTGTCAATAATCTTTAAACAATAATATACTTTTTATTAGCTGATATTTATTACTTGCATAATTATGAAAAATATTTATTTCAGTTTTATGGGGTTGTTGTACTGGAATTTTAAACAAACAGTCACAAACAGAAATGTGAAATTCATTGTTTCCCTACATACATGTAAAACTAATACTGTTGATTGAATTACATATATTTAACTGAACTGGCTTATACAGTATTCTGGAAACTCTTTATTATCATTCAGATTATGCATAATTAAAAAAAAACATTGGAAGTTTAAAGCACTTACATCTAATGTTAAATGGAAAGTGCAATGATACATCTTCCTTTTCTAAATTTGGTGATATTGATAACTTTACTTTGATAACGACTATTTCTTTGTCTAATTATTCTTATCGTTTTTATTTCTGTGCTAATAAGCACTGTACAAATATGAAAATTCATTGAAACAATAACTACTCAAAATCACGGAAAACTACCTTGGAGGTTTCTTTACTCGATGTAGGTTGATCATGTTGGCTGGAACTAGGTGACGGATCAGTCTCCTGGCCTCCAGTGATGCAGCCAGACATGCTACCGATGACTGTTCCGTCTGTCTGGAAATTGGAATGGAGGTAATCTACAACTTGTAGACGTAAGACTCTAAATTAGCTTCACTCAATTCTTATTTTTTCACTGTGCCAGTATTATTAGTATTAATGTTAGTGTTACAGTATTAATATTACTAGTACCATAAATTTCTAAATAGTAATTATTAAACGAGTAACGTAATGCAATGTAAGATTAAATTGCTATTGGGGTGTTGTTTCTGTTACTCAGTGTGTAGTAATACTAATAGTACTGCCTACTGACGTACTGTGGTAGTACGACTCTACGAGTACGAGTAATTGCAAAACCATTACTTTTCGCTCAAAAGAATTAAACTTATGAAATACTTAAAAAAGTGTTTAGCTATCTCATATATGTGTACATTTAAATATGTCTACAAATAAATTGACTAAATCATAATGAAAATAACATTAATTTAAAATCCATTGCAAAAACATTTTAACACACTTAAACTTTTATTTTTAAATACGTAGGCCTACCACGAACAGTACCCTGACACTGAGAGCCTGATAACGTTTTCTCTCGCTTGGTTCTCGTAACGCCTTATTAACGAGAAGAGAGGGTTTGAGAACAATGTAAAACATTACACCGAACCATTTTGTGTCTGCTTTACGAGATTTATAAACATAAACATTATAATCTGATTGACACAAGAATATTGATCTTCTTTTTTTTTACCATCCTAACGAACATTAATATTTATTGTTTTGTAAATATTATATAAAGAATTGAAACTTCTCTTGATGCCCTACACATTGAAACAATTTTCTTATGAAGTGCTTTGTTGCACAATAAATTAAAGTTTATATTTTTGCATTACAAATTTTAATATGTTTATGATGCTTTATTTGTACTTATTGCATATTCTGATAATATAATATAAATAATTAACCTTTTACTCTCTCTCTTTTTTACATGTTTGTATAAATATAAAGACACACAAAGTTGCGCAAAAGACATTTTTACGTCCATCAGACAGCAAGATGCTTCAGTTATTTATCACAAGGACTTTAAAAATATCTTGCATTTACATCAATAACAATAACTCAAAATAATATTAAGCTCCAGTATGAAACAGATGTCAAAGTGAATTTCATTCATAAACAGATACAGAGGTGGATGAAGAAAGTCATATATGATATATAACTCACGTAAGAAGATTTTTTACCATGCAAGGTAGGTTTTCATCTAGGGCTAGTGTGATTCGACAGACTCTTTACATAAATATTAGAAACTAAAAATATAGTGAAAAATAACTCCCAAATTCTATGTCTATACAATTGGTTATGTATACTAATTATGAATAGGAAGTAATGTCGAAGTTAGGATTGATAATTATTCATATTTAGTAAGGTTTATATTTCCGGTTCTAGAACGCTTCACTTGAGCCACACACCCTCAGTATGTTTAAAGAACTCCCTCGTTATTGGTTCCGTCTTTAATAATTCTATGTCTAATACTCACTAGTATTACAAATCTGATTCCTTGTTTAAATGCCCCCCCCCCCCAGCGGCACAATGCTAGAAACCGGGTTTCGATAACTGTGGTGGGCAGAGCACATATAGCCCATTGTGTAACCTTATGCTTAATTACAAACAAACAAACATTGTTTTAACCATTAGCTGAACAGTTCAATAGCCTGCTGATTTTAAGAATAAAATTATCTTAACTAAAACAAATACATTATATACCACAAATTTTGGGTGAAGTAACCCTTAACACAAATTGAACGTGCACATAGCTTTCGTCTTAGGCTTTAGACCAAAGTTGTTTAGCACAAAATTATTTTTAAATCTCGTGTTATGACTGCCCTCTGACAAAACGATTTCGAGAGCACGACTTGATAAATAAATAGCTGAATATATACCTTACCGGCTTTTATCGATACTATCTATGGTAAGTCAAAATTCTACATTGATTGCATGTTAAAACACTCTAAAAATTTAATAACTTTAATAAAAACATTTTGAAGAAAGTTTGCAAAGGTTTATTTTCATCAAAGAATTTTAGAAATATAAAGTTCATATAAATTTATGGATTTCAATACAACAAGGCAACAATAATCATATGTGTGTGTGTGTGCGTGCGTGCGTATGGTGTGCGTGTGTGTGTTTGTGCGCGCGTGCGTGTGCGTACACTAGTGCGTAAATTCTACCACCATGTCAAACTTTTATTTGTAAATTGCTTTTAATTAGTAACTCAATTAAATGCGAAAAAAGAATAGATAATTACAGTAACTTCATCAACAAATTAATCAAGTCATTTCTAGCTTTTCTAATTATTTCATCCTCATCTAGTAATTAATCTGCTTACATGTAAATTATTTTGAACTACTAAATATCAGAATTCTTAATTTGTCTATTATATATTACAGATTTAAAAATGTATAAGGAAAATCCTACTATTACATTATCAGATACGAAGCCAACTATCTCCTACAAACGCCAGGTTAGAAAGTTTGTAAAACGAAAGTGAGGCACCTGACATACATCTGAAAGTGGTTAAAACTCGTATGTGCAAGATTGTGAGTATACCTCATGCACTTTCATCACTAGGAAATGTCATACTGAAATTGCATACCTTTGCGTTCTGCTAATGCAATCCTGGATGTATAAGACAAATTTTGCAAACCTTTATACCTGAAAAGCACCAAGATATTTGCAATCAGTTGTCCCGCTACACACCGTGCTGTCGCCTGCAACAGCTATGTGACTTAGTGCTTACAATCTGGGTGCTGAGCTCAAAGCCCGGAACTCTGACGTCACCAAAAACTCTCTCACATGCATGGAAGCACACAGGTTTCTTGCTTTTTCCGCAACGATGACAAGTAAATACTAAGGTATGTTCGGAACACTGGCTTAAATCATAACAGCTTACCCATGCAATATCGGATACACTTCTAAGTAACGTGATTTATTTAACAAACGCTGTTCAATAGTTTAAGTTTGGCACTAAAATATTACTGGCTTCTTATTTTCTGAATACACACACACGTATACATATATATATGTATATGTGAGTGTGTGTTCATCAGACCATTGCGAAGTTATCCAGAATTGTGCAGATTTTTTTGGGTAACCAGAAACTTGTCCTTCCTTGTAGTTTCACCATAATTACAAGTTAAATTTTGTTGTTTTTCGCTTTGATGTGATATCTTTGGCAGTATAAGATTTTGTTCTCTCTTTTATTCCTTATAAGATTTCTCCGTTGGTCACAACTTTTTAGTTTCAGTCCTTACAAACCTTTATAAATTACACATAAAAGCCTGTGTATATTTATATCTGCCAAGTAAATAGTGTTTCTATTTAGATTCGCATAGTAAAACTACTTATGCCTGCCATAATCTGATTCACACTATAACAGTTGTTGTTCACGAAAATTCATAACACACATATGTATAGCGCCTAGACCACTACTGTATCCCAGCCAGCCTGACGAGTCTCGTCTGCAGTGGATATGGCCAATGTAGTGTGGTTGACATATTATAACATACTTTTCTTTGCTTTCACTCACTTTTCGGGGCATGCTCCTCCACAAAAGTGTTACAATTAGAGTTGAAAGTTGGGTCAATTTTAATGCAGTGGAGTCATGATATGATGAAAATCAGGACCCGGAAGAAAGGCAAGCGAAATTAATGTGAAAAAGACCAACTTAACCTCTGTCTTATTTTTTCGACTCGTTACCTCCAACTACCATATTCATTTTATAATCTTTATCTGTTTGTGGTGAATCATTATTTTGAACCAAATTGTAAACGTATTGAAATTTTTACGGAAGTGAAGTGAATGTTACCTCAGTAAAATGTTCAATATAACTCTTTAGAAAATGCATTAATTCTCCATAGACAATTTTGGTTCTATAGAAATTCTACAAAACTTACCTATAGAGTTTTACAGAACTCTACAGGAAACATTTTCTATGGCATAGAATCCTTAATGAACTTTATATAAAATGTTACTTTTTTTTTATCTTTCATTAACATCTTCTGTACTGTATAGAAGTTTTTTATTTTATATAAATGAATGAAACTCTATGACACTTTTTTGTGATTAAGGTAATGGTGAGAGGTAACGAGTTTATGTTATGAAATCCATTATTTCCTGTTCATTGCTAATATATTCCTCGTGACCTTCCACAGTTGTATTTGTATACGTATAAAAGAGACAACTGAGATTTGTTGACAATAACGTGCGACAACTGGTTCTTTTCAATACGAATAAGTTTAATTTTTATTAGAATATATAATAGAAAATAAGTTTCCCTGAACTCTTATTTTTGAAGAATAGTATCTTTTAACGTCCGTTTACAAAACAAATACTAAATACATGTGATGTTTTTTTTCTTAGTACCTGGTCTGATTTATAACACGTTATAATATAAGTAATGTAGTGTTATTATATAGTTATAGAAAAAATATAGCGTGACATTTTCTACATTGTATTTCTTTATGGAAATGCATAGCTGCAGAGCTTTCATATATTTTTTTTCTTATACCTTCTAGCATACGTTAATTTTATAGTGTTATCTTATAAAGCTATACTTATTTCATAAACCTTGTAATGCACTCCATTGCCAGTGAATGGTACTTTCTATACAATCATAC